TATTATAACAGGAAACTGAGCATATTCAGAAAGAGTAAACGTCTCTTCGTCGAAGTTCTACAGCAGAAAATGTAAAGATTGTTATCTTTACGCCTGGGTGTCAGTGGTTTTGGTGTTAACCCTCAAAAAGGGGTAATAGCTTCTGTCAACTCTCCCAAGTTCTGCAATCATACAGGAATAAATCAAATGTAGAGACGCTGAGAAACCAATTTCTGTCCTGACAGCAGCCTCAAAGAACAAGAATACAGTGCAGGCACATGAAAGGATTTGTCAGTAAATCGTTGTGCTGAGAAAACACTCGCTTGTTTATTCTTAAAAAACATTTCTGGGGCATTTACTTTGGAATATAGATAGGGATGACATGTCTGCTTTGGAGCTTTTCATCTCATTTCCTATTCTGCACAATCTAAGGCATAAATCCAACTTCGAATATACTTATGTTCATCCACTTGTGATCACAATGGAACCACATACTGTAGATTATGGAGAGCATTAACACTAACCTCTCATATGTTCTGTGTTTTAAAGATCCTAAATGGCTTTCCACCAACCTGGGGATCCTGACTTGCATCGAGTGTTCTGGCATCCACCGAGAGATGGGGGTCCACATCTCCCGCATCCAGTCCATGGAGCTGGACAAGTTAGGAACCTCAGAACTCTTGGTGAGTCAGAGAGTCTTCGAGGCGGCGGTCCACACCCTGAACTATTTTCATCTGGAGTTAAATATTCAAAATAATGAAAGAGTAGTGGAATCGGATTTTGGTTCTTTGAGCACCAATGTGAATACTTCTGTTCTATTGTGACATAATCCTGTTTTTCTTTCCCCTAGCTGGCCAAGAATGTAGGCAACAGTAGTTTCAATGAGATCATGGAGGGGAACCTCACTACGCCCTCACCAAAGCCCACTCCATCCAGTGACATGTGAGTACTATCTAAGCAAAAAGATGCTTGAAAACTAGATTTATTTGAATAAATATGATCACATCTGACTGAATTCCTCTTTTCCACCACAGGACGGTGAGGAAGGAGTTTATCTACGCTAAATATGTGGACCACAAGTATGCGAGGAAGACGTGCACATCTGTGTCCGCTAAAATGATCGACCTGTTTGAGGCGGTTCAGTCCAGGGATCTGCTGTCCCTCATCCAGGTCTACGCAGAGGGGGTGGAGCTGATGGAGCCGCTGCCCGAGGTCGGAGCGGTAAGTCCTTTTAGTTCATGGGTATTAACCTAGAACAAGAAAGAACATTTAGTCATGCAGATCATTGAACTTTCTTACTGAGTGTTCTGTTCATCAGGATATTTGCCTCTACTCCTTATTTGAAACCACTGTTTTCGTCCACCTTGCAAATATAAGTCCAATATTCACTGTGTTTTAGCTCCGTTTTTGGTTTCTACCATCTTTCAAACGACCATTTTTGACTCCGTAGCTTCTAAATGTTCCACCATGTCCACCAGCCAGTCGCAAACTGTGCCTCTGCTGTTTTGTGCTGAACAGATACAAAACAGTGGGCAGTTGGTTTTACAAGCTTTTTATCTTGAAACAGCTGACTTCTGCGGACACATTGAATCCACATTGAAAGACATGAGAGTGGTAAAAGTGAACCACAACATTTAAACCTATGGTGGACAGATTCAGCAATGAAAACTGTTGAGAGGAATGTCTGTTGCTCATGGCAACTAGTCGGCAAACAATGAAAACAATTCAGTGCTTCCAGCTTTTCACATGTGGATATTCCCATGATTGTCTTAGATATCTTGGATATTAATATTTGTAGGATTCACACCCCTGACAAAACAAGCAGTTTGGCTACATTGTCTTGGGGTCATTTTGTTACTTTCTTCCACTGTATGACCTTTAAATAGTTGACATTCTTGGTTGGTATGTTGCCTGGAATATTGGCTACATATCAACCTCCTCCTATAGCTACAGTATATCCTCTTAATCACACACCATGACGTCATACTGGAATACAAACCCCAGAAGTGTCCCTCTCAGATCTCTACACTGCAGTGGATCATCCTCCTGCCAGCGGGACAGAGAACACTGACACATTTCTACCTGTTGGTGAAATATTTGGCGGGTAAATTAAAGGTTGTATCATCAACAGCTGGATCATTTAAAGTCATCCTGATATCTTCACCAGCAGGTGGCGATATCCAGCAACCTTCATCACATTGTAGGCATCAACTCATTTTGAGTTCATTTTGTATCCGATGACGACATCTGCGTGATTCACGTTTTTCATTCTGTGGTTCAGCCTCTTTGTGTATTTGCACCGCTGGATAAGGCATAATATGAAATTTGAATAACAAGAGGTGGATGGTGAGAATGCCGTAGCGTAAACAACACAGATGATCAGACTTAAGCTGACATAAATGGGTCAAGGTTTTATAACACAGACGTGGTAGTTCTCCTCATGAAAAATGAAGTGTGCAATGCAGCAGCAGAATTAACGAGGTTTGAAGACAGAGAGAGCTGCTGCTGTCTGCGCTATTAAGTCTGACTCACCGATATCTGATCTGCTGTTGTCAGTACCTCTGAATGGCTGACAGCACGGTGACATCCCACTCCCCCGCATAACCAGACACATACAGGGACACACTTCCCTTACTCTTCCCTATTATATACAGCACATATATCCCTTACTCCACTATATGTAATCCTTTATCTCCATCTTTAAAGCTGCATTTAATGAACTGACATCTTGATCTCGTTTGAGAGAAAGATGTTATTATTACAAGACAATGGCAAAATGTTAAACTCTATGCCTTGCCTGCTGAAATATTATTTTTAGGAGCCATTTTGTTTACTGCAGCTTGTTTAAATGCTGAAAGAGACGCAGAGAGGGAGAGAATACAGAATGGATGCTGCACAAGATTGTCTCATGGTGTCTGTGCTGTGTTTGGTGGCCCCCTGCAGGAATCCGGAGAGACAGCACTGCACTACTCTGTACGGACTGCTGACCAGACCTCCCTGCACTTGGTGGACTTCCTTGTGCAGAACAGGTACATTTTTCACAATCATTTTCACCCAAAAAAGCCGGAATATAATTGCCTTATCACGTGCATTTCTTTGGGGACGATTCATGCCAATTACAAAGCTGTCCAAAATATCTATTAACACATCAACGGTTAGAGATAAAATGAAATAAACCACAGTTTTGTGCAAACACGCAGTATCAAATATGCTCTGCGTGACTCTTTCTTGTTCTCGGCTTGGCTCTGTAAGAAAGCAGTGGACGTGCAGAGGAGAGCTTAGCGCTGCAGCTCATATTCCCACAAGGCAAAAAGAAATGGGTCAAGCACTTGTTCGCTGCCTTTCATTTATTCCCTTCTCTTTTCAATTGTTTACCCACCACTGCTCCGAGTGCACACACAAGACGTGGAACCCTCTCATTAATTAATAGCAGCGCTCATACGGTGTCATGCTTAGACCTCATTATTTAAGATATATCTCTTGTTATTTAAGACATATGATAGATAAATAGGTACTTTATTGATCCCATTTGGGAAATGTTTGCGTTGCAGCAGCAAAAAATCACAAGGCAGAGAGAAATGAAGACACAGAAATAAACAGTCCAAAATATTTCAGAAATAGAAATAAAATAGCATTAAAAAGTTAAAAGATTTTAAAAAATTGTGGATGTGGAAATACAAATTTCCAGTAAAAAATATAATGCAGGATATTATTGTGCAAGAATGGATTATTCAATATTAAATAGAACATGAATGTAAAATGTACAGTGGGAGTTTAAGTCCAGTCATTGAGAGAATATATAATCCCTTTTTAAGAGAGATTATTTGCCTACTGTAACAAGAAAGAGTGAATTTCCCTAGCATTGTTTAATCAAATGTTTTCATGAGGGATTTTAAAAGCTCATTCTAAACTACTAAAGGAAAAGACAGTGTTTTTTAAATATCCTGTTTTCTCTCGTGCAAAATCCTGGGTTATCACATTAACCTTTAGCTGCAGGATTGTGGAAATCACCCTAGAGCTTGTAACCTGTGTCCTGACTTTGTGTGTGTTGTTCTCTCAGTGGTAACGTGGATAAGCAGACGGAGTGGGGCAACACCGCCCTGCATTACTGCAGCATGTACGAGAAGCCCGAGTGCCTCAAGTTACTCCTGAGGGGCAAGCCAGCGACTGATATCAGTGAGTCACAAGTCCAGGTTCATCCTCTCCTTAAAGCCCTGTGTACGCCACACTCCTAACTGTTGATCATCCTTCTCTCTTCCCCTTCAGCCAATCAGAACGGAGAGACGGCGCTGGATGTTGCCAGGCGACTGAGGAACACTCAGTGCGAGGAGGCAGTAAGTACAGCCGGTGATTTTGGACATCACAGGGGTTTATAACACTCTAAAAAAAACATGGAATTAAAAGAAAATCACACATAATACATTACATTACATGTCATTTGTTAGACGCTTTTATCCAAAGCGACTTACATACTCAATACTGTGGACAATCCTCACAGGAGCAATTTGGTGTGAAGTGTCTCAGGGACACAACGACATGCTGACTGCGGTGGGGTTTGAACTTGCTATCCCCTGATTCGAAGTCCAGCACACTCCCTAATAAGAAGAATTGGTTGTGGAGTAGAGCTTGTGGTTGATTTAACATTTTATCAGGGAGATCATTCAGAACACTAGATGGCAGTCAGAGGTCTGTCTCCAGCCTCAGGCAACAGGGACAGCAGAGTGGAAGTAATGGTTGATGTATGTTCATTATTAACGCTTTTATGACCATGCAGACAAAAAAAAGCTATTTTGAATGTAGTAAAAAATATAAAATAAATATATTATTAAAGTATTTGCACATTTAATACATGGGGGATATTGTTACTTTGTGGAAGCTGAATACTGCTGAACATACCCATAAAGAAAGTGTTTTAAATTACCCTGATTTTTCCCACTTAATGTTTATTTTGTGTCTAACTCATTGAGTACTTATAGTGGCAGACCATTTTAGTTCCACTTCCTTATCTTGTTTTCCATTAATAGGGTTTGGGATTGTCTCTATTCAAATGTAACTGATGAACGTGTGTGTGTGTGTGTGTGACAGCTGGTGCAGGCTGCAGAGGGGAAGTTCAACCCTCACATCCATGTGGAGTACGAGTGGAGCCTCAGACTGGAGGAGATGGACGAGAGCGATGACGACCTCGATGATAAGGTTCGATCAGAGCATTGTTCAGTTCCTTCAAGCTTCAATTCAATCATGTTTTCACCGCGCCCATATACAGTGCTGATGAATAATGAAACTATTGAGTCAGTCCGATGTGCAGATACCACAGAGCAGTGCTGCTCTAGGGCTTAAAGGTTGGAAAGGAGCTGCAGAAATTAGCCTGATTTTGGCAACTCCTGACCATTTATGTTCTTTTGTGTTTTTTTTATTAGGACTCTATTAAAAGAGCCTTTTCTTTCTTTATTTTTATGTAAACACCAAAGAATAGCAACTATTAGAAACTGGCCAAAATAATGAGGCATGATAATATGCATATCAAAATATTCAAATGCATAATTTGAATGTCTATATATGTTTGAGTATCACCATGCCAGTAATGCCATCATCAGGTGATGGTACTTTTTGGCTAACTTAAGTTAGCAAATGTCCCCCCCGCCCCCCCAAAATGTCTTTAAATAAGAAGTGATGTGGGAGAAGACCCTGCGTTGTTTAATACATTACATTTTGAGTCATAATCGCAGGCAGTTATGCTGAGCGGGAAGCCATGTGTTGATTTTGGTGAAATCCTGTTAAATGAGGCGCTAACACCATGGAAACTCCAGAGATATCAAGCTTCCGGGATGTGTTGCGAATATTTATTTTTAGTGATGAGTCTCATAAGACATATGAACATCCCAGTTAAAAAAAGATGTGTGTGTTTTCTATTATTTATTTGGGAAAAGATGGTCAAAATCAACTCAAGGCCCTTTGAGTTACAAAGGGTTGAGATTCCCTACATTTAAAAAATCTGCAGGTTATGATATTAGCTCTTATTCCCAGACTGTGTCTCGTGTCCCTTTGCAGCCCAGTCCCATCAAGAAGGACCGCTCCCCGAGGCCTCAGAGCTTCTGCCACTCCTCCAGCCTCTCTCCCCACGACAAGCTGTCCCTGCCGGGCTTCATCAGCCAGAGGGACAAGCAGCAGCGCCTGTCCTACAGCGCCTTCACCAACCAGATGTACAGCGCCTCCACCGATCTCACCTCCTCCCCCGTGGCCGACGGGCCGCCGCTGCCCCCCAGGAACCAGGGCAAAGGTCAGACCTGACTGCCCCGACACCCACAGCTACATCAGTCTTTAGATTATAACCTTGACAGGAAATAAAGTCATGTAATGCTAATATCTCTTTTGGAAATGTCAGCCTGTTATGCAAATAGCTTCTGCTTTGTTTACTGTGACTGATCAGTAGAGGGAAGCTCGTCTTTGGAAGTGTACTTCATTAGCTCTGTTAATGTTTGATTATACTAAGGACAGGATTAGGTGCGGAGGAATGCTGCGTAATTACTTTTCCTCCAAAATGTCTTCTTTGTTAGTCCACGTGTATACACACACCCTGCAGGGGAATGTAATTTGTTGAACGCACAAATCAGAGGGCGGAATGCAGGTGTCATTAAGATTGCTTACACAGTAACCTTCAGAAAACATGGCTGCAGGAGAGGGCAGGGGGTAGCTGTTAGTCAGGCCAGAGGTACACACTTCATCATTACCCTCAACACATTATACACACTTACACTGTGGACGTGCTGTCTCTGCAGTATTACAATCAAAGATAACACTCCTCCCTCAGTGGAGTAGTTTGAAACACTAACCCGTTACTATGGATGAAAACCTTGCACAACATGCAAAACATCTTAACAAGGCATCTTTAATCCTTTGAGGCTTTGGATCTTATTTTTCTTAAAGCAAAGGGTGTGAATTATCAATTGATTCCAGTTGTTTTGGAAAGCCCTCAATTGGCCTTTCTTTTAAACATACGTTTCATTTCTAGATGACAACAGTTTCTTTTGTTGGCTAAAATGAGGACTGTCGCTGGCAGGTTTGACTATCCTTAATCCTAACTCCGTCTCCACTGTAACTGTTTTTAGCTAACTAGATTTCAAATGAAAACACTTAAGCATGAACGTGATAGTAACAGACATGATACAATGCTAAAAAGTTAGGTTAAACCTGCATGTCTCAGGGAAAGATAAGTAATAAGAAGACATCCCCTCTTGATCTTTAGAATTGAAAAGGCACTCCTAATCATCCGACACGATATCAGGATTAAGAAAGAATATTTCACTTTAAAGCACCGACAGTATAAATTGATTTTCTTAAAGTTTGATATGGGCAAAAATGTGATTTATAAAGGCTGAATGATATACATAGATTTAGAATAACATGCTAACTCTTGATATTCTCCAGATAGCAGCGCTCCCTTGGGTGCTGAAGATCCCCCCCCCCTGGGGCCAGCTTCGCGCCATTTTTCCTCTTTTTCTTTTCTTTTTCTTTGCTTGCCACTGATAAGATTTCATCTTGTTATTTCACAGTGTGTGGGAGCAGCTCTTCTTAACACTGACATACTGTAGATTCTCTCCCACACTCCTCATCTCGCTCTCTTTTCTTTCTCTTTTTTTGTTTCTCTATTCTTTCAGCTCCACACTTGGCATTCCTTGGCTCTCATTCGCACTACGCCACTCTGGCTGGCACTCGACCATACATCAGTGAATATCCTGGTTTTACGTTCTCCCCCTTACTCGGCTGTGTGCCCCCTATATACCCTTATCCCTCAGTTGTTTCCTGCTTTACAGCTCACATTCACAGGGTGGTGGTGTTTTATTAAGCAAACAATGGGACCATGTAGGCAAGCTTAGTCTCCACTTCTTGCCTACGTGAATTTTGTATCATGCTGGAAATCATGTCCCACCATCCTTGAGCTGTAAACTCTTAACCACAGCTGATTCCTCTCTGGCTGAGCTCTCTATAAGCTGCTTCCACACTTCTTTTCTTTATATTAGTGAACAGTGAGTCCCATTGGAAACAAAAAGGCGTATTCATAAACAAATTCACCGATTAGAGCCACAAGAAATGTGCCTAATCATGGTTTCCCTTTTCCATATTCCCATCTGTTTTTTATTTGTTGTCTCCTCATATTGTTTCGTAAAAAACTAAATTCTTCTCCATATTTTCCGCTCCTCCTCTCCTCCATGCTCCATTTTCCTCTCCTTTATCTTCTCGGGGGGTTAGGGGGTTTTCAGAATGACTTTTTTGGGGAGTCTCGTCACCTCATGTGTTTTATGTATCGCTCCTCCAGCTCCTCCCCCATCTGGCCCTCCCTCTACACTCACACCAGGAGCCAGCTCCACCCTGTCCAAGAAGAGACCTCCGCCCCCACCTCCTGGACACAAACGCACCCTGTCTGACCCACCCAGCCCGCTCTCTCACAGTCCACACAGTAAAGGGGGCTTGACTGGGGGTGAGACACAAGCACACGTCCTGACAGTAGGCTGGTTTTGCTCCAGCAACAGATCTTATCAAAGTTCAGAATGTTGCAGGGTTATTCTAAAAGTTCTGCACTTAAGTTCAAATAAAGACTTTTTCTCAGGGGTTTGAGGGTTTTCATTGAGTCATACAGACTAGCTGATGCCTTTGTAAGTGTCTTTGTGCAATTTAAAAGTATTTGGAATGGCTCATTATGTGGACATTCATAGATGCAACTCGTATTTTTCCTCTATTTTGGATAAATCTTGTATTTTTTGATAACCGGGTTAAGGTCTAAAAACAATCCCAATTTGTTGACACTTTTAGAAAGTGATTCAGTTTATTATAAACATAAAAGAAAAGCAGCAAATCCTCTCACTTTCGTTTTGGGTTCAAATACCTTGGATGATACACGTCATCCAGGTCAAAATGTGGATGTTGACACCACTTACAAGTTGGAAACTGATACTAACTGTAACTTTAATGCATCTTTGAGTGCTCCATCAGGTAGGATGAGGCATTTACCATCTTTAAGTACACAAGTCTTTTTTAAATCCACTAGTTGATCTGAGATCAAAAGTAGCATATTTTAAACTGCACAAAACACAGAAGAGTTATGTTTGAACTACCACTTGGAGACATAACCACAATCATCTTACCTGCAATCATCTGTCCCTTATGGGTATGCTGGGGGTATTTTGAATGCTTTTCCATTGTTATCATTTTCCCTCTGTGGTGTTTTGTGCATTCTGTGTCACCCTTACCCAACCACTAATTAAATGATGACACTTTATTGCACAACCCCCAAATAACTAATGGAAAGCTCAGCCAGATGACGCCTCCCTCACTATTATTATTGTTTTAACCATCACAGCATGTTTATTATTATTATTATTATTATTATTATTTCACCATTAATTTTTTATTAGTCTCTGGGTTAATGCTCTGCTATGTTGTTGAGTAATCTGTGTCGTCATCGATGTCAATGTTTTAGGAAGCGACTCCACCCCTCCTCCTGTCAGCAAGATGTCTCCGGTCTCTAACAAGTTTGAAGGAATTCCTCAGCAGCAAAGGTAACAACAACAAAAAGACGATGGAATGTGAATCATTTTATCAAAACTCGCTAAGAAAAATGTATCCCAGCAAATAAGGTTCAAGCGTTTTCTTACATAATCTTTTTCATTAAACTTCATGTGATAAATCTTTTCCCAGCACTACTTCGATCAACACAAAGTCTACACTTGGTCCAAGGGTTCTTCCCAAACTACCTCAGAAAGGTACACCTTTGTCCAGCTTTATTTTGATACAAGCTGTTAAATGGCAAAGTTATTCACACACTTCTCTCCCCAGTGGCATTGCGGAAGATTGACACCATCCACCACCCGTCGATGGATAAGCCCAGTCTCCCTCCAGAGGTCTTCCAGAAGTCCCCCCAGGCAGCCGACCCCCCCCAGAAGGCTCCTCTGGCGGACCGGCCTCAGCTGGCAGACCTGCCCCCCAAACCCCAGCCGTCTGACCTCCCTCCTAAACCCGGAGAACTTCCTCCCAAGCCTCAGCTCTCAGACCTCCCTCCTAAACCTCAGCTGGGAGACCTCCCCCCCAAACCCCAGCTCAAAGACCTGCCTCCGAAGCCGCAGCTCTCCGACATCCCCCCCAAACCCGGGACCGCCGAGCCCACCCCCAGGCAGCCGCACGGAGACACTCTGCAGAGGCCTCAAACGCAACCTCCACCTCCCCCTCAACCCCAGCCCCAGCCCCAGCCCCAGCCCCAGTCCCAGCCCCAGTCCCAGCCCCTGCCTCAAGACTCACCGTCCCCTAATCAGCAAGCACCTGTTGGGACGCCCCCCCAACCAGCTGCTGAAAACACCAACGGGACCCCCACAGGGACCGCAGAGACACCCGTGCCCCTCCCCAGGAAGATCAACACGGTAAGAAGACCATGCTGAGTTTTTAAGTCAATACATGTGCTTTTCAGTGAATTAAAACATGTTTTCAGAAGCATAATGGTCTTTTTAAATAAAGATTAGAGCCTGATCAATACCATATAAGATTTTTTATGATTCTTTTTTCCACATAACCTTCTGTTACTTATTGGCCAACATTTATGCTGATACTGACATATTTCAGGTAATTTTATATTGGCTTAAATCTTGACCAGTTAATCAGGATCATCTGTAGATGTAATACATGAGATTCATTATGCTATTTGTTACTTTAGCAATGCTTATCAGCTGTTTAACATTCAGTTTGGATCACCATCTTCTGTTTTAAATGCTTGGTCACTCGGGTTTCTAGCGACAGCCTCTAACCACAGTCTCTAACCAATGCACACATTATGTTATATTTTCGCTTTTTTGCTCTCGAAATACACGAGAAACAACTTTTCTAAAGATACATTCTTATTCTTAGTGGCCGAACATGGTACTTACACTATACTCCCTCATAAAAATAGAGAATGTTTTGTCACCGTTTTGTTTTTGTATGTCCAGGGGAAAAGCAAATCCCGCCGGGTGAAGACGATCTATGACTGCCAAGCTGACAATGATGACGAACTGACATTTGCTGAAGGAGAGGTGATTATAGTAACAGGAGAGGAGGACCAGGAGTGGTGGGTAAGTCAAGCCTCAATACTATCCGTATTTTTCTTATATGTAATACTTCTTTGTCCTTGAGCTATCTTAAGGGCACAATAACACACGACTTTGTTCTCATATGTTTCCTAAACTCTTCCAGATCGGGCACATTGAAGGGGAGCCGGACAGAAAGGGTGTGTTCCCCATGTCTTTTGTGCACATCCTGAGTGACTGACAGTCAGAGAGACTTGCACTACACCTCTCCCTACATTGAGAGGTCCTGTACATAGCGATTATAACACCTCTTGTCCAATGACAAGTGTCCTAAAGAAGAAAAAAAAAAACAAGAAACCAAGAAGGCTCATCTAGCCATGGATATCTCCTCCATGCTGTACAAAGAATGTGTGTATTCTTCCTTTACCAGTATTATCTTAACCCTATAGCACGGCTGTGAAGAAGCCACTCTCAAAACCCTAGCACTTACCTAAAGTCTATGTTTATGCTGTTACTGTGTATATATGTATGTAAATATATATATTTGTGTGTGAGTGTATATACATGTTTTATTGTACAAAACATGTACCATTGCTCTCTCTACCTGTCAGATTTAAACATCAGGGCGGTAGACTTTGAATTTTATCCGTATTGATTTTACTGGCCCTCAAGTAATTATCAGCTTATATTTCTGGACAAATAAGAAAAGGAATGTGAAATAGGTCATGTCACTCTGTCTTGCATCCCTGTTTACCACCATAGTTGACTGAAGAGGCTGCAGTCTCCCACTGATCTTGCCCCCAAATGAAAACATTAATGTACTCCTTGTTCTTGCTTGCTTTGTGTACACGTATTATGGTTGTTTTACAGTATAGAAACCTGCTGCTACTGTGTGGTGGAATATCAAAGCCTGTGATTCACTGTAGGTCACTAATTTACTCCTTGTTACACTGTTCACTGTATGTATGCTCTGTGCATAAACTCAGCGCCATCTCCACAGTCCCTTGACTTTCTGTGCATGGTGTAACAATGACTGGAATTGAGTGCTGCATTCAAAGATGCTCACCTCGGGGTTTGAAGAGCCACTATTAAGCAGGACTACACAAAAAAAAAAAATGTATCCTGTGTTTAAAAGCCACTATTAACAAGTATGGGAAACTCAAGACATCTTAGCAATAACTTGATTTTCTGACACCAACCGTTGTTCACAATTCAGTGTCTTGTAAAAAACCTCATGAGCTTGAAATGTTTAAGTTTGATCATGTAATATCATTCCATGTTACTGGATCCAGTACATTTCCAGGTTTGCCTGTGAACCAGAGATGTCTTTAAGAAGCACAGTGGAATGAGCAAAAGGCTGGAGAGCCGATGTATTTTCACCCAGTCCTCACTGACTTGCAGTTTCCCTCCCCCATGTTAAGGAATAAACCCATCAACCCATTGTATCAAATAAAGTGCTGTACTGAAACTCTGGCCCTGGGCTCTTGCTTTCATGATTAAACATCCGTTTGCCTTTTGATGTTAACCTACATTAAAAATCAGTAAAGCCAAGCAGCAGTAGATTTTAAAGGTACTAAGGCTACTCGACCATTTGGAATTGTAAATTCCTAAACGCTTTGCGAAAAAGTCAAATGGAGTATTTCTTCAGTTTCATCAAGACAAACATTTCAACACAAAGTTCTCAAATGATTCTTTATTTTTGTTTTCTCAACAATTCACATTTAAACCAAAATGTACCATCCAATAGCTTCTTTTGGATTTCTCATTAACACAGGAATAATCTTTTAACATAAATATTTTGTGTCACAACACAAATGTTATTTGACCAAATAAAAGCAGCAATACCAGAGTTTACTGGTAAAAGAAAAAAAAACTAAGTACACATTTAGGCTTTAAGTTTTGATCCTTGTGCCTTCACCACTGACTTGATGACTCCGACAGCGACCGTCTGCTTCAGGTCTCGTGCTGCAAAGCGACCTAGGAAGCGAAACAAAACATGTTAAACACTACAGAAGGTCAATATAAATGTAGACTGATTTGGATAGTATACCTAAGGAAGCGTATGAGAAGAAGCTCTCGACACACATGGGCTTGATGGGAATCATTTTGACTGTGGCAGCGTCTCCAGATATCAGTAGCTGCGGATCGTCCTCCACTTTATTTCCCGTCCGCCTGTCAATCTTCTCCTTCAGCTCAGCAAAGCGACAGGTCACATGGGCCGTGTGGCAGTCCAGGACAGGAGAGTAGCCTGCCTTGACCTTCCCTGGATGGTTCAGGATGATCACCTTAAGATGGAAAATACACACATCAGCACAGGAATTACAAGTTTCAATTTCAACTCCACTGAACCAACCTGCGCTTCAAAGCTGCTGACATCTGTGGGCGGATCCTGCTGGGCGTTTCCAGCCACATCCCCTCGCCGCAGGTTCTTTACAGCCACGTTCTTAATGTTGAAGCCGACATTGTGTCCGGGCAGACCTTGCTCCATCCCCTGGTGGTGCATCTCAATGGACTTCACCTCGGCAGTGATTTTGGCTGGCGAGAACATCAGGGTCATGCCTGGTTTGAGGACGCCAGTTTCAATCTTACCTACTGGCACGGTCCCAACTCCTGAGAAGATGAAGAAAAAAAAGTGCATTTAAAAGTTTAAATAGTGGATTAAGGCTTTATCAGCTGACAAACATTTCTGTTCTTGACCCCACTCCAATTGCTCAGCTGCACACCTGTAACCCATGTTCTTAATTGGAGCCAATTGATTTCAGGCTCGGGGAGCAGACAGAGCAACTCAAAAAATGACTAAAATTAACAGCATAACTCCTAACCTCCAATTTTGTAGACATCCTGCAGAGGTAACCGAAGGGGCTTGTTGATGGTGCGAACTGGTGGTTGAATGGAGTCCAGGACTTCAAGTAGAGTTCTCCCAATTGCATTTCCTTCCCTTCTTCTGGATTTCCATCCTTGGAACCAGGGCATCTGCAGAGAGGAACTTGTGTTAATGTGTTGCATGTTCCTAGATTTTCACAAGTTTAAGACTATAATTACCTTCTGAGTTGCAGTGATCATGTTCTCCCCAGTCCAGCCAGAAATTGGCACGAAAGGCACAGTTCCGGTTTCGTAGCCGATCTTCTTGAGGAAGCCGTTCACACCTCGCACCACTTCTTCAAAGCGCTTCTGGCTGAAAGGGGGTTCAGTCAGATCCATCTTGTTCACACACACTATGATCTGCTTCACACCCAGAGTATAAGCCAGCAAGGCGTGCTCTCTGGTCTGACCACTTCTTGAGACACCAGCCTCGTATTCTCCTTTAGCTGCAGAGACCACCAGGAGGGCAACATCGGCCTGAAAGGACATTTATGATTTTGGTTAGAAGGCCCATGAAATTACACTTACATAAAGTAAAGAACCTCTGTGCTACTAACCTGTGAAGTCCCTGTTATCATGTTTTTAATGAAGTCTCGGTGGCCAGGTGCATCAATTATAGTCATGCTGTATCTTTGAGTGTTAAATTTCAGCAGAGATATATCAATGGTCATTCCTCTCTCCCGCTCAGCTTTAAGCTTGTCCAACACCCAGGCAAATTTGAAGGAGCTCTTCCCCATCTGTAAATAAAATATATAACTGGTCTTAGTAGGTTTTAAGACATTTCAAGAGCTCCAATAGTTTCATTTATGTTTCTCACCTCCGCTGCAGCTTTCTCGAACTTCTCCAATCTTCTCTGGTCGACGCCACCACATTTGTAAACGAGGTGGCCGGTGGTAGTTGACTTGCCGCTGTCAACATGGCCGATAATCACCACGTTAACATGAGTCTTCTCTTTCACCATGCTTGAAGTTGGCTTTTCGAAACTAACAAATTAACGATAGTTTTCTGAGCAGAAGATACAACGTTCACGTTTCCGAATTCTTCGATCAAATGTGTGTGAACAGCCACTGTGGAGCTGCGTTTTAAGCTGCTGCACCTGTCGACACATGATTGAAGACAGGTGTGCTTAATTACTAATTTGCCAAACATGCACCAGCCTAATAATTGCATGTTTGGCAAAGGAGGAAATGACAAAACAGAGCTTCCGGAAGAAGAAAAGAAAATGCTGAAAAGCTACATTTTGCTCACTTATTTTTTGGGGGAAGTAGGAGTGCGAATTAAAGTATTACATTATATGTTATTAATGTGCAACAAATGGCGGTTGCAGTCACCTTTTGATATGATGTTACAGCCAGGTTTGTCATGCAGGGATGGCTTTGAAGAGCCTTAAAATAAAGAAAACAAATAAACTACGCTTTTTTAAATTAAAGTTCCTTAAGCTCTTAATAATGTTAAGATCAATACTTATAGGCAAATGAACTCTTAATTAAGTTAAGTGCAAAGGTAATAGCATCAACATATACTTTAAATACCAAAAAGTAAAACGTATTAGTCATGGCACATTTCAGAATAATATGTATTGTTGCAGAACTTAAATTAACACAAAATAATGCTGGTGGTACCTTAATTTCATTATCTTATGTAGGCTACTTGGTTGCCAGGCCTATATTCATTTATATATACAGTCTATGATTCATACATATGTGACTGATGTTAATGTATCGGAACCCGGTCGGAAGAAATGGCACATTAGCGCCTCCTAGAGATTGTTTAAGATGTAAATTAGCTTCTTGCTCAAAGAAACTTCGGTAAAGTCAATTTTACATAGGCCTAACTGTGTCTCGCGGTCAAAAGCCCTAATTAACGCCACGGTGAGACACAAATGATAGTATAGGTAAATTGTAATCCGGTTGAAACCACCGTTAAAACACAGCAGCGGGTCATCTCTGACCGGGCGGGTCTATCTTCAGTCAGGCAAGGAAGGTGTATAAATTCCCCCTCCGCGCTCAGAGGTGGAACAAACCGAACTCCCCTCTCGTTTGACGGCCACAATGACGCTCGATAACTAACCCGGAAACAGCAACAGCAAATCGCTTTTCTTCTTCTTTCAGCCCGTACCGCTGGCTTTCTAGCGTGGTATCCAGACGTCGACACCAGTGTTTTCTCTACGAGCATCAAGGTAAATAACAGAGACAATTACTACTTTATCTCCTCTTTTTCTGTCATCTCAACTAACCACCTATACTATCCACCGGTTGCCATTCAGTCAGGCTTGTTTTGAGTGTTACATTTAGTTCTTCGGCTCGGAGGCAAATTTAGTGATGGATAATAAACGTGTCCGGCGAAAATGTAACCCCCCACCCCTACCTCTTATTGCAAAGTTACTGTAAAAAATAAATAATGGAAACTATTTGTGTTGTGTTTTTAAGTTACACCCTCGGTGCCCCGTTAACTTCCCCTTTTCAGGGCAGCGGTCTCAAGGTAGACGTTAGGTTAGGCTACACTGCTAGCTAGATTTTTCCTTTATTTGGCCAGGGGCATTGAATGTTACATGCGTGACCCATATAGCCTATTACTAAAGCCAGGTAATCAGCTGTGTTGGACTTCGTGAACACTACAGAGACAGGTAACGTATCCAGTTTAAAACTAACCGCATGACTCGGATTAAAACTGTTCTTTTACAGACAGTAAATATTCATCAGTACAGCTGCATTAAAGGAAATGCTCACACTGACAGCTGGTTAGAGCTGGTTTGTCTTGATGATTGTTGATTGTTCTTCAATCAATGCATGATTTAAAATAAACACTCCTAAATTCAACATCTCAAATCCTCAGTAAGGACAGAAGTAGCCTACTATCAGCTGAATGAAGTCCTTTTTTAGGCATTGAATTGAAATATTTATGCTCAATATAGGTTTTAAAATAAATTCAAATTGTGTTGCACAAAAAGTTCAATATTTCACTCTAAATTGTAGTATAGGAAATTCAACATAAAAAGTTCTACTTTTATTGCAGTACTCAAATATTTGTACTTTAATATAATTCCACCACAGGCTCATAAGATCTCACTGTCTAGTAATAAACGTGTCACTGCAATTTCATTTAAAAGTTGCTGACTATGGTTGGTTGTTTTCCTATTTGCATCTTTTGTCTGCACGACTCAACTCTAGCACGGAAGTAAATGTTGTTTCCTTTCCGCCCTGTCTCTGCAAAGCTTCTGAAAGTGGAAGTGAAACGTCCCAGAAAACCAGAATGAATGATTTCTTAGGCAAGTGCAACTCTAATGAGGTTGTCATACAACGTGACATTAGTCTCAAAAGACTCATGGTGTCTACTTGTGCAAATTGGTATTTTTTTTCTGTTGCTACGTAATGGCTTGTTACACACAAGTATAGACTCGTGCATTAGTTCAGAGATTTGTATTTAGAAATTTACCGGCCTCATTTCACAAAAAAATGAACAAGCTCTCAGACATGGCTGTGCAGAGTGTTTTTGAGGGGAGAAAATAATTCTGTGCACTAATATTAGTCATTGGTGCATTTCTTTTGTGTCAAGAAAACTCGTAAAACATAAAAAGCGTCATTATCTCATGGCAAATCCAGTTATGCTGT